TCTTTTTTTTTTTTTTTTGTAGTTATAGATGGATAGAATGCCTTTATTTTATTTATTTTTATGTGGTGCTGAGGATCGAACCCAGTGCCTCACACATGCTAGGCAAGCGCTCTGTTGCTGAGCTATAGCCCCAGCACCTCTAGCCCTTTTTATATTTTATTTAGAGACAGGGTCTTGCTAAGTTGCTTAGGGTCTTGCTAAATTGCTGAGGTTGGCTTTGAACTTTTGATCCTCCTGCCTCAGCATCCCATGCTCCTAGGATTATAGGCATATGCCACCACACTTGACCAAATGTCTACATTCTAAGGAAGCTCATCTTGCCTAGGTCTGGCCTTCCTCAGTCACCCCTAGTCCTCCTCGCCAGGAATAGAGAGCCAGCATGGAGTCGAGAGCCCCGGACCCTCTAGGGAATATGGTCATTCCACAGTTACAACAGTCTCTGAAGCCTTCACTCTTAGCACATTCTTTGTAATCCTATTCCTCTTAGAACAAAGCTGAATTCTGCATGTGGTTAGGACAGTAGTAAAACCCAGTAAAAAAAAAAAAGTCTGGATCACCTTCAGACTAAACATGCACTTCTGAGCATTTTTCTAGGTGAGGAAGACTGGCATATCAGAATCTCCAAAAGGCAAAGGGGTGGCATTTATTTCAATCAATGCATAACTAGTCTTCCTCCTTCCCTTTCCCCCTGGTTATGATTCTACTGTGTGTGTAATGCATGGAAATGGCTTGCAGAAAGGGAGGAAAAAATGGTTGATAATCACTGCTTTAAATCAACCTTATTTTGAGCTCAAATTTAGAACACCAATTGCTGTTATTTGGAACAACAATTTTGATAAAGCACAGGATTCCTTTCTCTTTGAGTCTCAGATGCTCCAACTTGATATAGCTTGATATTGTTGGCAAACCCTCCTGCTCACATGCTCCTGGGTAACTATGTCCTGAGCCCAAGGCAGAGGCAGCAAACTGGTAAAGGCCTGCAGATGCCTTTTGTTTGGCCCACACAATTTAAAAAAAAAAATGGAATTAGTTGTCAGCATTTAAAAAGTGGAAAATTTCATACAAAATCTCAGACTTCAGGTTTCTCTGGTTTTAAAACAAAAACAGGCCATGGGAAGCCTGGTGACATTCTTGTAGGAAAATGAATAGTGCCTGTCCTTCTACACAGGACAAGTGCTGTCCAGGTCACCCAGTCTCACATCTGACCAGCTTCATGTGTTTTTTTTTTTTTTGAGGGGATTGAATCCAGAAGTACACTACCTTTGAGCTACATCCCCAGCCCTTTTAAAAAAAATTATTCTTAGACAAGGTCTTATTAAATGGTCCATGTTGGCCTGAACTTGGCAATCCTCCTATCTCAATGTTTTCAGTAGCTGGGTTTACAGATGTGCACCACCATGTCTGGTGCTTGTAGATGTTTTTTGTCGGACTCTGTAGGTATTTTAGTTTATGCTCATGGCTCTGAGCCACCTCCTGCAGACCAGCAGAACAGTGTTCCTCTTGCTGATTTTAGAACCCTAGAGAGCTGGGGGCCTTGTTTTACGGCAGCAACTGAAATTGGCTGAAAGTAGAAAAATCATTCATTTTGAGTGTGCTGCAAAGAGTCCTTTGCTTCCAGGCAGGAGACAAAAGCAAAAGCGCCACTGCTTCCTGGATTGGGGGTGGCTATGGGTCCGAACCTATCAGAGGAGAACTGACAGTTGTTTCTCACCAAAACCACTTGAACATGGAACACCCACCGCTTTTTTTCCTGCTTGTCTTCCTCCAACACCTTTTCCCTCATTCTCCCACAGCTACCCACACATAGCACCCATGCACAAGCTGTTTGCACTACTTGATTCTGTTTTCTCTAGTATGTGTGCTTTGACAAAGCCTAGCGCCAAGCCATGCATAACTGGGCTGCCTGTAAAGCCCTTCTGGTGATGAGACACTGGCTGACCTCAAGGGAACACAGCACAGGTAGAATGGAAGAGAATTCTAATACTCTTCAAACTTGGTTCAGCCAAGAAAATGTAAGATCAGGTTGTTCTTTGTAAACCTGGGAATCAGTTCATCATCTCAAAAGAGCTGGGGAACCTTATCCAAAAGGGACTTGGTGGGACTCAGATCCTATAAAACTTAGCCTTAGTTTCAACATCTGAAGGAGAAGAAAAGAAAAGCATTTTCTGAGCTCTTACAATGCTAAGAATGTTCACAGGCATCAGCTCCATCCCCATAAGAATTTATTAATGTGCAAATCATCACCATAATTTTAAAGAAGCAAATTGAGGGTGACAGAAATTAAGAAACATTTCTATGCTGGGCACTTTGATGCATGTGGGCAATTCCAGTGACTTGGGAGGTTAAAGTCAGGAGGATAGCAAATTTGAGACCCTGTCTCTAAGTAAATAAATAGGCCTGTGGGTGTAGTTCAGTGGTAAAATGTCCCTGGGTTAAATCCCCAGTACCAAAAAGAAAAAGAGAGGCTGGGGATGTGGCTCAAGCGGTAGTGCACTCGCCTGGCATGCGTGCGGCCCGGGTTCGATTCTTAGCACCACATACAAACAAAGATGTTGTGTACACCGAAAAACTGAAAAATAAATATTGAAATTCTCTCTCTCTTAAAAAAAAAAATAAACAGAACACCAGGATTCAAAACCCAATTTCACTCCGCCTCTTCTTACAGGGTGCTTGTCCCCAACACCCTCTTATAGCTTTATTTTCCTGTAGCCTTTTTTTGTGTGTGTGTACCAGGGATAGAACCCAGGGGCACTTAACTACTAAGCCACATTGCCAGCTTTTTTATTTTTAGAAAGGGTCTCAGTACATTGCTTAGGGCCTCACTAAGTTGCTGAGGCTGGTCTTGAACTTGTGATTCTCCTGCCTCAGCCTCTGGATTCACTGGGATTACAGGTATGCGCCACCATGCCCAGTTTTTCCTGTATAGTCCTTACCGCTACCTATTATATGTATCTCTGCATTTATTTCCTGTCTCCCTCAACATAATTTAAGTCCTTGGGGGCAGAGACTTTTTCCATCTTGTCACTGCCATTTCCCTGCATGGAAAATAGTATTTGGACCCCTCAGTGAGTAGTTATTGCTGGATTCATAGGAAAAGCAACTCTGCCTTACTGAAAAAGCAATCCTTCTGTGTGTATGCTCAGCATGTGTTAGGCCCTGTGTTTGATCCCACACACTGAAATAAGTGAAAAATTTAAAAAGGGAGTTTAGAGGAGGAAGATCAAAGTCCTGGAAATGTGCTAAGTATATTGGTGCATGCCCCAGGTTCTAGTAACTTGGGCGACTGACACAGGAATACTATAACTTTGAGGCCAGCCTCATCAACTTAGCAAGACCCTGTTTCAAAATAAAAAATAAACGAGGCATGGGGCTGGGGATGTGGCTCAAGCGGTAGCACGCTCGCCTGGCATGCGAGCGGCCCTGGTTCGATCCTCAGCACCACATACCAACAAAGATGTTGTGTCCGCCGAGAACTAAAAAATAAATATTAAAAAAATTCTCTCTCTCTATCTCTCTCTCCTCTCTCATTCTCTCTTTAAAAAAAAAAAAATAAACGAGGCATGATGTAATGTAATTCCAGTGACTTGGGAGGCTGAGGTAGGAATATTGGAGCAAGTTCAAACCCAGCCTCAGCAACTTAGCAAGGCCCTGAGCAACTCAATGAGACCCTGTCTCTAATAAAATATAAAAAAGGGTTAGGGATGTGGCTAGGTAGTTAAGTACCCCTGGATTCAATCCTTGTCACCAAAATAAATAAATAAATAATTTTAAAAAGATGTAGCTCAGTAGTACAAGTTTGTCTAGCCTGTCTAGCCCTGGTAACATAAAAAAGTCAATCAATCAATCAGTTTTGGAAATCCAAGTAAGCTACGTGTAGAAATAAGTTTTCTTTTTCTTTTTCTTTCTTTCTTTTTTTTTTAAAGAGAGAGTGAGAGAGGAGGGAGGGGGAGAGAGAGAGAGAGAGAGAGAGAGAGAATTTTTAATATTTATTTTTTAGTTCTCGGCGGACACAACATCTTTGTTGGTATGTGGTGCTGAGGATCGAACCCGGGCCGCACGCATGCCAGGCGAGCACGCTACCGCTTGAGCCACATCCCCAGCCCCATAGAAATAAATTTTCTCCTATAAAGACAAACGACTTCATTCTGTGAAAGAAGCAATAGTCTATTATAGACTTTCTTGTCCATGGCAGGAAAGCTTTGGCTTTCCCTTCCTAGCCGAGGTTCATGTTCTTTAGCATCCAATCCAGTGCACGAGAGTTAGGATGATGGAGCAACCCAGGTGGTATTAATTAGAAAGAAAACATGAGACAGAAAGCGTCCAGAAAGTACTAACCTTCTCCAAAATGAAAAAAAAAAAAAAAAGGATAAATCAGAGCTGCTGTTTCCAAACCTGAATTACCCAGGGTGGTGGTTCTCAAAGTATGGCCCCTGGAACAGCAATATCAGCCTCATCTGTGAGCTTGGTTGAAACCCATATTCTCAGGCCCACTCCAGACCTGCTAGACTCAGAAACTCCAGGGTTGGAACTCAGAGGATTTTACTAACTTATTTTGGTCCTGGGGATTGAACCTAGGGGTATTTTACCACTGATCCAATGAGATACATCCCCAGTCCTTTTTATTTTGAGACAGGGTCTCACTAAGTTGCTGAGGCTGGCCTTAAATTTTTCCTTCCTTAGCCTCCTGATCGATGGGATTACAAGTGTGTGCCACCACGCCTGCCCAGGAATGTGCTTTAACAAGCTCCTCAGATGACACTGATGCACACTAAAATTTGAGAACTGTTGTCCAAGGGAATTAAAAATGGGTCTGAAGATCCTGCTTCAGTAAGTTTGGGTAAGAGCCCAAAAAGATTTCAAAAGCTTCTAGATTGATTTGGACCTGCAGTCAGATTTGCAAACCACTAAACCTGAGGGTTCATCTTTTCCTGGCACCAGGACAGTGTCCTCAGTTCTAAACCTACTTCTTACTTCCCATTATCCCTAAGTCACTCACTTACCACACAGAGCAATGATGTGGCTGCTATCCTCATGAACAAACTTCCTGGTGACAGCTTCCTCCATGATTTGCTTCACCTGTGGACAAATGGAAAACATTATTACCTTTACTTGTTTATTTATTTATTCCTGATCATGGGGCTTGAGGGGGTTGAGGGTAGACTCAGCGGTAGAACGTGTGCTTTGTGGGTGCAAGGCCCTGGGTCTAATCCCTAGCATCCAAAGAACATGGAAAAAAAAAAAAAAAAAGGCCTCTCGGCAGGTAAATAGCTTGGCTCTGCCCTCCTGGTCCAGGTTTTGGTACACTTGCTGAAATGACAGGGATGGGAGAGGTGGGGAAGGAAACTTTTTTCCAGCACAGCTTGTTCCAAGTCTTATGGAGAGGAAATCAGGAAGAGATGTCAAAGCTTGCCATCTTGGGAGTTTCTAATCCAGGTAGAAGTGGCTTGCCTTGGAGAACAGAGAGAGGAGGTTATTTGCTCATGGATACTCAGCTGGAGAAGGGCTTCTAGGTAGACATGCTGTCCTTTAGGGACAGACTGTTTCCCTGAAGACTGCAGACAAACAATCTGCCCTTCCTTTTCTCCCTGTTCTCCAGGGTTCAAGAGTAGGTCCTTCTATGCCACAGGGACACTGGCTATAAGCTTTCAATCTTTTCTATCCAAGGAGGAATCCAATAATCCTGGCGATTTTGGATTCCTCCTTGGATATAAAAGCTTCCCAATAAATACCTTATAAGGTGAGCAGTCACATCTTTTTTAAGAAAAAGCTCAAGGGGCTGGGGATGTACCCAGAGGTCTAGCATGCACAAGGCTCTGGTCTTAATCCCTGCCACCCCAAACAACAACACAAAAAGCTTTTTAAAAAGAAACTGTCTTATTGTTTACTGTTTATTGTGATTATTCAGTAAATATAATTTTATAGCTTGGTGAATTTTCAAAATGAACAATCCTGTAAAACTAGCATCTAGAGCAAGAAATAGAACATGTGACCAACACCCCAAAGCACTCCTGCTCTGTCATTTTTCCCCTCCAGTCGTTACTCCCACCTAAGGGTACCCACTATCCTGATTTCTAACATCAGATTAGTTCTTCTCATTTTAATATTTTTTTTATAATCTCAGCATGTTGTGTTTTGTGACTAGTTTCACTTGCTTTCCTGTATGATGGTGAGATTCTTCATATGGTGTCTAATTGTAGACTGTTCATTCCCCATTGTGTAGACACATCACAATCAACTGGCATTTGGGTAGTTTCCAGTTTGGGGCTGTTATGAATAGTATTTCTATGAATATTCCGGACAATGTCTTTTGGTGAACATATGTGCCGACTTTTTAAAATTTATATTTCTAGACAAAGAATTTCTGATGCATATATCCTGCTTTACTAGACATTGCCAAAATGCTCTCCAAGGTGGCTGTGCTAACTTATACTCACACATCAGTAGTGAATGAAGTTCCAGTTACTTCTAATTCTTAAGCTAAGAACTGTTAGTGTCCTGGGGGAATCTGCCAGGAGACAGATACTAACAAGAGATTTAAGAGGGGGATTTCCTCAGCCCCACTGTAAAATCTTACAAATAAAGCAAGTCCTGGTCCTTGCTACTGTTTAAACAGGCATGCAGCTTCCTCATGCTGCCCTGGACCCCAAGGCCCTCCCTTAGCACTGTTATTCTTTAGAGAGTGGAAGTGGGTCCAGAGCCTGGAGAGGAAGGAAGGAAGGAGGAATCTGGAGGTTCCTCCCTGCTGGAACAGCTCATGGTTTTGTGACTAGGTAAAATGTGGATCAGATGCCTGCACTCTAAACTGTTAAAAGTTTCCTAGATTACTTCTCAAGGGGTGTTTGCATTAAACAGAGTATAATATCACAGCTAAAGGTCTTTATATCACCTAAAGCAGGCTAGTGAGGCACATTTTTGGATTAGGACCTACAGATACTTGTAGACCTATACCAGGGGTCACTGTGAAAGTTCAGCCTTGCTTACAATGATCCCTCTTGTCTCTTCTTGTAAGAGGAGAAAGGATTCATTTTTTTTTTTCTGTAATCCAAGTGCCAAAAGGGGAAGGGAAATATATGAAGTTCAGAGCAGGTCAACCTTTGACAGGAAGATACATAATTGTAGCATATTCTGCACATTTCTCACTTTTTTTTTTTTAAAAGAATAGGCTTTATTTTTTTCTCTCTCTTCCTTTTTTTTTTTTTTTTTTAACATTTCTCACTTTTTAAAGGAATCATCCTTGGAATAATATAGTCTTTCAAGTACTGGAAAAAAATCATCATCTCTTCAAAATCCTTCTCACTATCCCTAATCAACCACCAAATTTGGATTACACCAATAATCCAAGCAACATTTGTCTGAAGTATGAGGATAGCAACTTTTCTGTTCATGTTTATACTCTTCCTGAAAGACTCAGTCACTGGACTATCTTCTTTCTGAGGATAACCACTGAGGTTTCCTTCTTGGGAAGGAAAGGGTTGAGGTTTAAATGCTGATTTGATATACCCTGGGCTTAAGAAACCCTTTCTGCTCTCATATGTGGAGGCTAGGGAGAGGAAAAAAAATGGGGTAGGGGATTGGGGAATCTTATGAAAACAAGAGACCAGCAGACTAGAGGATAGGGAACAGGGGAGGGAGAAGTGGAAGGACAGAGGAATTACTGGGGAACAAAATTCACCAAATTATTTTGCTATATTGTGTGCATATATAAATTTGTAACAACAAATCTCACTATTATATATAATTATAATGCACAGAAAAAGAAAATTAAAAGAAAATAAATTCTTCCTTGATCACTTCAGAGCAAAAGTACAGTGAAGCTTCTCACACAAGCTGGGAAAGTGATGGCTTCAATTATATCTCTGACAAGGAGAAGGAAGGTACAAATGTTAGGTCATAGTAGCCAGTCCACAGTTAATGCAGAACCTAGAGTTTTCCTCAATCCTGAAAGTCTAAGGAGTAAAGGAACCAACATAGTGAAGTTTCATATATGAGATAGGTAGCATCATTCCTATTTTAAAGACAAAGAAATCAAGACTCAGAGAGGTTAACTAACTTACTCAAGGTCACAGAGGGGCCAGGTCCAAAATATTTCAAACTTCATAATTTCTCATCAGACCTCAGTCTTCAAGATCTATTTACCAGTCACTGAGTTTCTACAGCATTGGATACAGTATAGTGGACAAAACAGATGGTTTCCTGCCCTCATGGATCACACATCGACTTAGCCACAGAGGAAGGTACAGGAAGGAGGCCTAATTCATTTCAATTCATTTCATCTACTCTGCGGGCTTGAGCTCTCATATGCTGGTGAGTCATTCATATGGGCACCCCCTCACCCACTGAAACTGAAATGGGCTTTTGAGCAGGGTCAAGGTAAAGGGGGTTGGTAGAGAGGCCTCTTTTCTTCCTGACATGAGGGCTTTCCTTGAAGAGGGGGGATCTGAATCTTAAAAAAACATTCTCAAAACAAACAAAAAACCCCCAAAAACTCTAGTTTCTGGGTAAGGAGGTGGGCGTGGAGGGAGAAACTGTGGGGTGTGCTGCAAACCTCCGACAGCCAGAGGGCCTGGAGACCAGGGTGTAGCTCAGCAGGAGCTAAGCCCCCCAATCCCACCTGGATCTGCGCCGCAGGAGGCCCGCGGGGCCCCGCCCCCTCCCCAGGCAGCGCGGGCAATGAATGGGCAGTTCGGGTTCCCCAAAAATCGCCGCCACCCCTCCCCCAATTTTGGTCTCCCGGCGCTGCTGCCGTCACGGGCAGAGAGCTGCGGGACCGCGAAGCAAATAAGCCCTGGAGCGCCGGCCGGGTCCCTGGCCAGGGGCGCTGCCCAGATCTAGAAGAACTGCAGCCTTAGCCCGCCCAGGACCCCGCCCCCGCCTGGCCCCGGGCCTCCAGCGGGCGCCCGTAGGGGCTGCCACTGACCCTTCAGCTCCCTGGGCCGCACGGGCGGGGCAAGAACCCCGGGGTCCTGGCCCCGACTTTACCTCCTTTTTCACGTTCCACAGCAGTTTCTCTTTGACCGCATCCTCCGCGCTGCCCATGGTGAGGCGGGTGGCAGGGAGGCGGCGCCGAGCAGCCCCCAAGACCCCCGCGCGCCCTCGCCGCCTCCGCGCCTCTCAGTTCAGCGCCCCACGCGCAAGGCGGAACCCCCGCCCGCCGCGCTCCCCGCCCGCTGCCGCCGCCGCAACCACTGCCCGGTGCTCGGCTCCGCAGCCATCTTCTGAGCCCCGCACCGACGTCAAGCAACAGGCCCGGCCCCTTCCCACAGCTGGAGGGGGGTGCGCACAGCGACGGGGGGGGGGTCGGGGCGGGGGGAGTCTGCGCGCGCCTGGGGGCGGCTGGCCCGAGTGCGCGCCTCCGGGGCCGCTGCCATGGCAACGCGCCTGTTTCTGCCTCGAGGGCGCGAACCCGCATTGTGAGCACCTGGCTGGCCCTGAACTCCGCCGCTTAGAGCAAAGCCGCTTGCGCCTCGGCTGGCCTCAACCCAGCAGGGTGTTCCCTGACTTCTACCTGCCCGTTCTCCAGACGGGAGAGCAGGCAGCAGGGAGGTAGGAGCCCAGGCATTGGGTCCCCTGTGGCTAGAATCTGCCTCCGGGAAAGCCAGCCAGCGGTCGTCGCCTGGCCCCATTGCTTCTCCGAATACCCCCCCGTCAGCCGTCGCTCTCAGCTGCAAAACTTGTGGAATTAGAGGTGGGAACGCAGTCGCCAGTTATGGAGAACGGGAGCCCGAGGGCAGAAGTGTCATTGCCAGCCCCCACGCCCTGTCTGGTCCTTCTAGAGGCTATGGGGAGGTGGGGCGCGGGTTAGAGTAACAGGGATCTGTCGATAAGGGTGAAACAAGAGCCTTCCACGCGATTCGCCTTGGAACTTAAGAGTATTGAGGGAAAGGATGCTCAGTGATAACACCTGAGGCAAACTGCAGAAAAGCGAGGTGGAGTCTAGAAGAGAAGAAGGGCTTAGGCCTCTAGGCATGAATGGATTCTTTCATTCAACATCTTCCTACGTGATGCAACTTTATAGTGCAAAAATACATGAAAACACAGGGAGCAAATCAGTCCTCCTGGACCGATAGCCCTAGTCCCTAGAATCTACATTCGGCGTTTTAAAGCCCCCAATTGCAGACTGCGGCGTGGGAAAAGTTCCCACGGCGGCAGAGACTTTGGCACAGAGTGCTACACTGGCAGGTGGGAAAGAACTCGCGAGAGGGAGCGGGAACCCCACCCCCGCGAAGTGAACCGGAAGCGCTCGGCCTGGGCAGGAAGTATTGCTGACTTGGCGCACGTGAACTTCAGCATGGCGGCTCACCGCTCCGGCCCGCTCAAGCAGCAGAATAAAGCTCATAAAGGCGGGCGGCATCGGGGTCGAGGATCCGCACAACGGGACGGAAAGGGTGAGAAGATAATGTAGGAAGGGCTGTTTAACCGACATAGTTGCTTTTCTTTGTGCCTCGGCAGCTGGTCTCGGGTCTGGGACCCACGCGAAAGACTCTGAGGTGGCCAGTGGGGCGCTTGGTTGAACAGCTTATGGTGTCGATCCCTGTAGCCCCTTTTTCATCTGCTTTCCAGGTCGTGTAGAACTGAAAATCTTGTGCAAGAAGGTGAGAAAAGAGCTCAGCAGAGTAGACCAGAGACATCGCGCCAACCAGCTCCGAAAGCAGAAGAAGGAGGCGGTGAGAGGAGTGGGGGTTGAGGAATGGTGCGGTTTCTCTACCGTTTTATTTTTTTAATTTTATTTTTTTAAAGCAGCTCCCCCCTTTTTTTGAGAGAGAGAGAGAGAGAGAGAATTTTTAATATTTATTTTTTAGTTCTCAGCGGACACAACATCGTTGTTGGTATGTGGTGCTGAGGATCAAACCGGGCCTCACGCATCCTAGGCGAGCGCGCTACCGCTTGAGCCACATCCCCAGCCCCTCTACCGTTTTAGACGGGTAATTCTTCGTGCTAGAAAATGTGGCCAGGAAAGAACTGAAATATAACCCTAGAGCGCATGTCTGGCTTACCTACAAGTGTAGATTCTCGCTAGAGCATTCTCTGCTTTATTTCGCGCTCCTTACCCCACCCCCACTCGCCCCAATGCATGTGGTGGTTAACAAGGATGCTAGTTAGGGCAAGGAGCTTCTGCACTGTTGGAAATGCAGTACTGGAGCATGGTTCAGAGATGTTCTCTGATTTTGTTTTTCAGGTTCTGGCAGAGAAGAGACAGCTGGGCAGCAAGGATGGGCCTCCTCATCAGGTGCTGGTGGTGGCTTTGCATAACAGAATTTCCCTGTCTGAGGCCTTTCGTCTTCTTCAGGATAGGGACATGGGAACAGTGCACGTAAATGAATGGGGAAGCACCTATAGCTTTATGCTGCTGTGCCCCCGTTTGAAACATCGGTGGTTTTTCACATCTGCAAGGCCAGGTTAGCATATACAATATTTTTCTGTTTTTATGTTTGCAGTAATGTTAATGAGGTTATATGCTCATGTCAACTACTACTCTTATTGTGTTTTTATTTTTAGGAGATCTTCACAGTGTATTAGATATGGCTAAAGTGGCTGATACCATCCTGTTCCTCCTTGATCCACAAGAAGGCTGGGACAGCACTGGGGATTACTGCCTTTCCTGCCTCTTTGCTCAGGGTCTTCCCACCTATAGTAAGTAAGTTGGGAGTATTAGACGCCAGGGAAGGAAGTGAATTAGCTTTTTTTTTTTTTTTTTTTTTTTTTTGGTAGATGGACACAATACCTTTATTATATTTATTTTTATGTAGTGCTGAGGATTGAACCCAGTACCTTCCAGGTGCTAGGCAAGGTGCTCTACCCTAAACTACAACCCCAATCCCATGAATTAACATTTTTACGGTTTTCCAGATATTGTGCTTGGCATTTGATTCCTGAACTGATGGACTGTATTAAGCTAGTAGTGCAATATACATGTACAAATTAATCTTGGTCATTTATTTACAAATTACCAATTTAGGGTTTGGGTTTTTTTCTAATATCTGGGCTGTCCTGTTGAGAGGAAGAAGATTGTGAAATTTGGTTTCACTGACTTTTTTTTTTTTTTTTTTTCTACCAGGGATCGAATTCAGGGGGCACTCAACTACTGAGCCAATACCCAACCCTGTTTTTTGGATTTTATTAAAGACAGGGTCTCATTGAGTTGCTTAGTGCTTTGCAGTTGCTGAGGCTGGCTTTGAACTCATAGTTATCCTGTCTCAGCCTTCCAAGCCACTGGGATTACAGGCGTGCGTGCACCACTGCGCCCAGCCTCATTGACATTTCTTAGGGTAGTTGAGTGATCTCAATAGAATTGTTAGGTTGTTTGTAAGCCACAGGGGGTTTTTATATAGTGAAGGGATAAATTATAAAGATCCTTCTCTTTTGCTTACAGCACTTGCTGTCCAGGGATTTTCTGGTATCCCTCTGAAAAAACAAATAGATGCCAGAAAGAAGCTAAGCAAAGCAGTAGAGAAGCGATTTCCTGATGACAGACTTCTTCTGTTAGACACTCAACAGGAAGCAGCAACACTGCTTAGGCAGTTGGCTAACCAAAAACGAAGGCATCTTGCTTTTAGAGATCGGCGAGCCTATCTGTTTACCCATGCTGCTGATTTTGTACCCAGTGAAGAGAATAACTTGGTGGGCACCTTGAAAATCTCAGGCTATGTTCGTGGACAGACTCTGAATGTAAATAGCTTGCTACATATTGTTGGACATGGTGATTTCCAAATGAAACAGATAGATGCCCCCATCGACCCTTTTCCTTTAAACCCTAAAGTGATAAAATCCCAAAAGGACTCAGGCATGGCAATGGAGGTAAGATTGATGGATTTTGTTTGTTTTGGGGGATGGGGTCTTGCTGTGTTGAACTTTGGGCTCAAGCCATTTTCATACATCAGCCTCCTGAGTAGCTGGTACTATAGGTGGTCAACACTGAACCTAGCTCCAGAATTGAACTTTCTTTCTTTCTTTCTTTCTTTCTTTCTTTCTTTCTTTCTTTCTTTCTTTCTTTCTTTCTTTATTTATTTTTAGAAGCATGCATTGTAGATTAATATGTAAGTTGAACAGGATGGAAAAATTTTAAATTGAGAGAAGGTAGTCTGCATACTTAGGCCAATGAGGAGACAGTTAGTTTGAAGGCAAGTAACAGTCAACTACAGATATGTTGATAAATCATTAGTGCAGCATTTTCTAGATACTTCGCATTGCAGTTGGCTCTGAGATTATAAGAGATATGGTCAGAGAACTTAGTTAAATTAGAAGAAAATGTCAAACATCTTTGAAATAAAAAAATTGGATATGGTAAGATATGGGCCTGCTGTATTAGTTGAAAAGGTAGATTAGCAAGCTTCACAGAGGGAATCAGATTTTAGCTAGGTGTTGAGGATTGTGATTTTGAGTTGAGCAGAGGTAAAAGAATGTTAGAAGGGGCTGGGGTTGTGGCTTAGTGGCAAAGTGCTTACCTAGCATGTGTGAGGTGCTGGGTTCAATCCTCAGCACCACGTAAAATAAAATAAAGGCATGCTGTCCATCTACAACTAAAAATATCTGTATTTCAAAAATTTAAAAAAGAATATTAGAAGATAGATACAACATGAACCTAAGCACAGTGATGAAGCGTAAGGTTTCTTTGAATTGTGAAGACAGCAACCTGATGAAAGTGAGGGATGTGATTAGGAATAAGACCAGATTATGAAAGACCTGAAGACTCAAGCAGGTACAGAGCTAAATGACCATTTGAAAAATTGTGACGCTATCACCTGCTTTTGTTTTTCAAGGTTTGTGCTTCAGATGTTGCATCTGACATGGAAGAAGATCTTAAGGTCCTAATGAAGGCAGACCCTGATAGACAAGAGTCTTTGCAAACAGAAGTTATTCTAGATCCAATGGAAGGGGAGCAAACCTGGCCCACTGAGGAGGAGCTGAGTGAGGCAAAAGGTTGGTAGTAGCAATCTTGTTATTCATCTGACCTGGAATTGTGAATTTTGACTAGTTGTTCACAGGGTAGCTGGTCACACCCTATAGAGTAGAGTTGGATGAAGATATAGTTGAAGTTCTGTCACCTCTTCTTTCCCCCAAATGCTATATAATTGTACTAGGCAAACATTGGGCACACCTTTGCTCAGTTTTGAAACTAACTTGTTATTGTATTATAATAAACACAAACAACTTAAGATCTATTGCCAGGTTTATTTAGCTTTGGAAGTATTGCTAATTGTGAGGGAGCTGAATTAAATTTTAAGTAGTCTTCTACTCATGGTGTCTGCTAGTTTCCCATGTTGGCAGCAGTATTATCCTATATAGGTGAGACTATCCAGAGTGATAGGGGAATGGAGGTGTATAACTTGTTTGGGTTTTTACAGATTATTTGAAGGAAGGTTCTAAGGTGGTAAAGAAGGTCCCCAAAGGAACGTCTAGTTACCAAGCTGAATGGATTTTGGATGAAGGTGGTGAAAGTGGAGGGGAAAGAGATGAAAATGATGACACAGAACAGGATTTTATGGAAGAGGAATCTCAGGTAGGGAAATTAGCCCTGGGCCCATTTTTGTATACAACTCCAAATAGGCAGAGTGCAATCCTGATCTTGAGGGGTGTTTCTGGGAATGAAACTTGTTTTATATTTTAATTTAAAAAAAAATTTTTTTTATTTTCTAGTTGGACACAGTATCTCTATTTTATTTATTTATTTTTATGTGATGCTGAGGATCGTACCTAGGGCCTCACATATACTAGGCAAGTGCTCTCCCACTGAGCCACACACAACCCCAGCCCCTATTTTAATCTTTTATTAGCATTTATGTTAGTTGAGACTAGGTTCTAGTAAAATTATTTTTAGCTTAATGGCCTATGGGGTAGAGTTGGGGGAGTTTTTTTTTGAAATAACTAATTCTTTTTGTGGGGGTACCAGGGATTGAGCTCAGGGGCACTCAACACTGAGCTGTATCCCCAGCCCTATTTTGTATTTTATTGAGGCTGGCTGTGAACTTGTGATCTTCCTGCCTCAGCATCCCAAGCTGCTGGGATTATAGGCATTCGTCCACACCCAGTTGTAATCCTTTATTTTATAGGATGAAAAAAGTGAAGAAGAAGAAGAGGAGGAGGAGGAATGTGAAACTATGACTATAGGGGACTCTGTACATGATGACCTTTATGATGAGAAAATGGATGAGGAGGCTGAGGAAAAAATGTTAGAGAAATATAAACAAGAAAGGATGGAAGAAATGTTTCCAGATGAAATGGACACCCCTCGTGATGTGGCTGCTAAAATTCGGTTAGTCCGTAAGTCTAAATTCAACAAGTTTTTATTTAAAAAATATATCTCAGAATTATGTCACTGTGATGAAAAGAAGAAAAAGACATTGTCCCCTGTTTGTTAAGGGCCAACATTCTATGTGGGTAGTCAACACTCGTGGGAAATAGTCGTATATAATAAAGTTTTAGACTATGGTACAACTAATGTTACAGGACTTTAATAAAGGAGAAATAACAAGGTTATTTAACAAATATTCTGTAGGAGCTAATATGTACAGAATGTTTGGAGATTTTAGGGGAACTTTGGGAGGGCAACAAAAGTAAAAGCATGAAGCAATAGACAATAGTGCCTGCTCTGGAAGTGAGTTCTCTAAAGCCAAAGAGTGTATGTTGGCTACTAGAGTGCTAAGACTATTACCAGAGATCTTATTTGTTAAGTTATGGAGCCACTGTAAATACTTTATCCTTAGTGAGAAGTCTGGATATACTTTTGAAATAGTTGTTAAAAACTGAATTAAGGGGCTGGGGTTGTGTCTCAGTGGTAGAGTGCTCACCTAGCTAGGGTGAGGCCCTGGGTTCGATCCTCAGCACCATATAAATAAATAAGTAAAATAAAGGTATTGTGTCCAAGTATAACTAAAAAATAAATACATTTTTAAAAAACTGTTTTAAAATGTGGTCTTGGTTTAAGTTATTAGGTTATTTTGAGAGAGAGTGATTAGAGTTTTTAAAAATAGAGCCTTAGCTGTTATCAAAGTCATGTCTTATATAGCACCATATAGTCTGTTAATTTCTCTGAATTTTCCTATATTTTAGATTTCAGAAGTACAGAGGCCTTAAGAGCTTCCGGACATCTCCATGGGATCCTAAGGAAAATCTTCCTCGAGATTATGCTCGGATCTTTCAGTTTCAGAACTTTACTAATACTAGGAAAAGAATCTTTAAGGAGATTGAGGAAAAAGAGGAAGAAGGAGCTGAGGTATCTGTCCATTGTCCACTCCATTATTTGCCTTTGGTGGGGGGAGGGTGGTACTGGGGATTGAATCAAGGGGTGCTTTATCACTGAGCTATATCCCCAAACCTTTTTATTTTTTGAGACAGGGTCTTGCTAAGTAGTTCTTAAGATCTCACTAAGTTTTGGAGGCTGGCCTCAAACATATGATCTTCCTGTCTTAGCTTTCCTAGCCATTGGGATTATAGGCATGTGCTGCTATGCCTGACTATAATTTGCTTTTGATTGCCACCATGTTGCCTGCTTTACTCTTTCTTGGCATGAGCTTGACTATTTAATGTAGTTTTATGCTACCTATAGCTGATTTAGGGGAGCCATTGAGTCATTGATATCAGAGACATTAAATAAAAAAGTTGAATATGCGCCAGGTGTGGTAGTGTACATCGTAATCCCAGCAGCTGGGGAGGCTGAGGCAGGAGGATCCCCAGTTCAAAGCCAGCCTCAGCAACTTAACAGGGGCTTAAGCAAATCCGCGAGGGCTTGTCTCTGACATACAAAAAGGGCTAGGGATGTGGCTCAGTGGTTAAGTGTCCCTGGGTTCAATCGCTGGTACAAAAAAAAAAGTTCAATCTGGGTAGTAGAGGCATCTGTGAAAGGCAGAAGATAAGTATAGGTTTTAGGTTAGTCTGAGAGACTTTGCACACATTTAGAGAAATATTTCTTGTTGTATTATATTTTGGTGCTGGGATTGAACCCAGGGCCTGGGACATCCTAAGCAAAAGCTCTACTACTGAACCACGTTCCCAGTCCTGGAGAAATGTTTCTAAGGTTAACCCTGTGGTTGTTTTCTGCTTCCTTTTGGCAGGTTGGCTGGTATGTCACACTTCATGTCTCTGAAGTCCCTTTGTCAGTAGTTGAATACTTCAGGAAAGGAGCACCTTTGATTGCATTTTCTTTGCTACCTCATGAACAGAAGGTAAATTAGTGTCTTTTGGGAAATGGAGTTAAGAGACTTTTTTTTAACTCATTCATGACATTGTTCATTGGGATGTGAGGATTTTACCTTTTGACTTAGGACTCAGAAAACAATGGAGAAGTCAATGATGGTTTTACCCAAAATGTCTGAACCTGTCTGAAGCATCTCAGTGATGTAATCTTTGTGTGTTTCTGAGACTTCTCTAAGTATGTTTTTGAGGTCAGATTTTGAACAAGGGATTGGCAATCTTAAAAATGAAGATTTATGTCAAAGTGCAAATCTCTCCTCTAGGTAGCCAGTGGTTGTCACTTTGGGGGTTATGTGATTGATAGCTCTGACTTTTGGTTAGTGTGAGTACAGGTTGAGGAAGAGAAGTCTAATGAGTGATTTTGAAGGGATGTGGAAAGTAAATGAGTTGAAGACCACTGGTATTTGTGGCATATGGTAAGCTTTTTAATATTAGATCTGGGAAGAAAAGCTAGCATAGAAGGATGCATGAAAACTCTGGTCAAGCCTATTTTCAGTTCTAGTGCCAGTTGTTAATGGACATAAAGGATACACCTGTGTCCCATCATCTCTATAATTTGCCATGAATTAGTATTGTCAGTTCTATTGTGTGGCTGATGTTCATTTAGTTTGCTGCCTTTCAGGTTAGGCTGTTTTATTCCTAGACTATGAAGCTTTTTTTCTTATTGGTTCTCAGATGTCAGTGTTGAACATGGTGGTAAGCCGGAATCCTGGCAATACTGAACCTGTAAAGGCCAAAGAAGAGTTGATTTTCCACTGTGGATTCAGGCGTTTCCGAGCCTCACCTTTATTTTCTCAGCATACTGCAGGTTAGCAGTGGGAAAATTTCTGGGTTCTAGCCCATCTTACTGACTTTTAGGAATCCGTACTTTTTGCTGATGGGCGCTGGGTGCAGAATAGCTAGTGTTAGAGGTATTTTCAGTACTCTGGCTTAGGAGCCAATGATGTTCTTATTCAAAATGTCTGAACCTGTCTGAAACATCTCATTGATGCAACTTCTGTGTGCTGCTGAGGCTTCTCTGCCATGAGTATTTATTCTAGAATAGGATTTGAATCAGAGTTGGCAGCTTTATAAAAAGGGTGTGTCATTGCTTGGAAATCTTGGTATCTGATATGCCAGTATCAGTGTGGGTGAAGGGATGGAGGCTGGGTGTAGCCTACAATTGGATAAAGAAGAAAAGTGTGGGTTTTGAGGTGTAAAGACCAGATGACAGAGTTTGAGCATGGTGACCAAGAATCCTTTTGGTGGGAATAATCATTGTATTCCTACACTTCAGGACTAGCCAGGTGTATTGCCCACTAACCTGGGGGCTTGTGAACATACCTTAACTGAGATTTCAGCAATGATAGGAGGAAGAGATGAATGCAGCCACTAATGTGCTCTGCATAGTTTTTATTTAGCCAACTGTGTTATCTAAAATGATTTCTTTCCCTTAAAACATTTTATCTTCCTTTAGCTTTAGTATTAAAATCAGATGTCAACAAACCATGGCCTTTGGGTCAAATGTGCCCCACTGCTTGTTTTTGTAAACAGACTTTTATTGGAACATGGTCATGCTTTAAAACAAATCTCCAAATGTATGATTTCTTTCTGCTTTTGTGTTAAAATGGCAGAGTTGAGTAGTTGGAACAGAAACTGTATGGCCACACACAAAAAAAAGCTTTTTTTTTTTTTTTTTTTGTACCAGGGATTGAACGTGGGCACTAACCACTGAACCATACCCCCAGCCCTATTTTGTATTTTATTTAGAGATAGGGTCTTACTGAGTCATTTAGTGCCTTTGCCATTGCTGAGGCTGGCTTTGAACTTGAGATCCTCCTGCCTCAGCCTCCTGAGCCACTGGGAATACATGCATGCGCCACTGTGCCCAGGTTTTTAAAAAAAAAAAATGTTTGGCAGTCCCTGTGCAAGACTAAGAGCTGATGGATCTAGGAGAGTCTCAATAAAGCACTGATTCTCATATGTGGTAGGGGTGTTGAGCAGTAGAATTCACCTGGAGAACTTTTTTTTCTTAAAAGCTTTAGTAGGGCTTGAACCTAGGGGTACTTTTACAACTGAGCTACATTCCCAGCCCTTTTAATTATTTTATTTTGAGACAGGGTCTCACTAATTGCCCATAGCCTTGAACTTGTGATCCTTCTGCCTCAGCTCTAAGATTTTGTCTTCAGTTAAAAAATCATGGGTAGGGGCTGGGATTGTGGCTTAGCGGTAGAGCGCTCACCTAGCATGGGCAGGACCTGGGTTTGATCCTCAGCACCACCTAAAAATAAAAGGCATTGTGTTGTGTCCATCTACACTTAAAAAAAAAAAAAAGAAAAGAAAAATCATGGGTAGGACTGGGTTAAATATATCAACTGTGTTAACAGGAAAAATTTCTTGAGAATTAGTGGGGTAAAGAAACATAAGCTGAGACTATGAATTTAGCTCAGTTGCTAGAGTGCTTGCCTCACATGCACAGGCCCTGGGGTTCAATCCCTAGCACCACACACCAAAAAAAGAAAGAAAAGAAAACCAAATTGCTTTTGCTTTAAGAGTTGCAGTTGAGCTGGGAATGAAGGTACAAGTTGTAGAGCACTTAGTGTGTCTGAAGCCCTGAGTTGGATCCCTAGCAACACCCCGCCCCCCACAGATTGCAAAATATCAAAAAAAGAGTTACATCTGATGCAGCTTTTCATAGGCCTCTGGATTACCTCAAAATGTTTTGGCTTTTCTTTTTTATCCTTTGTTATGGCAGCAGATAAACATAAACTTCAGAGATTCTTGACTGCTGATGCGGCCTTGGTGGTGACGATATATGCACCAATTACTTTTCCTCCTGCATCTGTGCTGCTTTTCAAGCAGAAAAGCAACGGTAAGTTGAGTTCTCAGAGGTGAACAGGCTTACAGGTCCTTAATAGGATTATCACTATTCTCAATTCTGGTGTTTTGATTTGGAAGGCAAATAGAGAAGATAATGATATACCAGTCTTTCCCTCACAGTGAGTTGAAGCCACTGTGGGATGGTAAACTGGGTTTTATCTTGCTGTGTAGACCTTAGCTAATCACTAGGGGCTACTTAGAGTGCTATGTTTAGGGGACAGGCTTAGCAGGAATAGCATTTAGTGGTTCTTTACTGTGGACCAGGGTAGCATTGTGCATTCCTACTGTAGTTTCTCCAAGAAAATATTGCATCGTTCTCTTAAGTGAACAGAACAATAAAGGAAGGCTTTGGCCTGAAAACTCCTGAATAGTTGTTTTCCTTTTCTCCTTTAGGAATGCACAGCCTTGTTGCCACAGGCCATCTGTTGTCAGTGGATCCAGATAGAATGGTCATCAAGAGAGTTGTTCTGAGTGGTCATCCTTTCAAAATTTTCACTAAGATGGCAGTAGTACGTTATATGTTCTTTAATAGAGGTAGGTACAAAGGAAGAGGATGGGATCTGATTGCTTTTATGGTATGAGGGTTGTGTTTACATTATGAGTAAATATTTCATTTTGGTCTTCTGTATGCTCCATTCTAAGAGGATGTGCTATGGTTTAAACCAGTGGAACTGAGAACAAAGTGGGGCCGTAGAGGACACATCAGGGAGCCTTTAGGTAAGAAAATGTGGAATTTGGGATTTTATATAGATTTCCTCTATGCTATTAAATAGCTATTGTGTTGGAAGTTTACTACTTTAAAGTTTTTTTTTTTTTAATTTGACCAATTTTGTTATGTTTGTTTCTAGGTACCCATGGCCATATGAAATGCAGTTTTGATGGGAAGCTAAAATCTCAGGACACAGTACTGATGAATCTTTATAAACGAGTTTTCCCTAAATGGACTTACGATCCATATGTACCAGAACCAGTACCTTGGGTGAAAAGTGAGATTTCTTCAACAGTGCCTGAATTGGACATAGAGTAATGGATTCAGTAGGATTCTTATTGTTAATAATTAGCACTATAAAGATGGGTCCTACAGGTTGTGACTGAGCAGTTTGTAGTTTATACTTTAGTCCATCAGTATGCTGTCCTGTTTACAAAAGATCTTGGCTCAGTTAAGTATGGAAGTTTTTCTACTTAGTCTAAGAAAACTATTAAATATACTGAAATATCTGTTCTCCATTAGGACTTTGAAAACTTTACAAGAAGATGTTTTGGTGCTGGAGATCAAACTTGGGTCCTTGCACATACCAGGCAAATGCTCTGCCACTGAGCTGCCCTGCCTGAGGGGAACATGAAAAACAAAAATTTCATGTATCCAGAGAGACACTGAAGCCCATCTCTTTCTTTTACAAAAATTAAACAGAAACAGACTGATAAGGAGCTGGCCTTTCAGCGTGCTTCACCCAACTTAAGGAGGTTAAGTCTACATTTCCACCACTGAGAACAATACAAATGTTCTTTACTTCTGGAGAAACTGCTTGAAAATTCCGAGACAGCACAGCAGCCACTCCAACACCAGCTGTAGGTTCAATGAGTAGTTTCATCCTTTCCCAAACCAGCTGGGTTGCATACTGTTGGTATAGAAGTGAGTAAGGATTAGCAAAACAGGAGAAGGGGAAAGGTTTAATTCTATAGGCCAAATGAAGATATATGCCTAGTCTGAATTTTCTCGTTGCTAATGCATGTGTGTTTGCCAGTGGAGAACACAACTTTCATCTCTGCTTGCCTCAGAGGTTTGTCCTAATACAGCTTGGGTACCCTCCCATAGATCATGAAATCACCCTGTGGTTACTCCCAACAGGAGAAGGTTGTGTTGCTTATGCTTAAAGTTGTACTATTATAGGTTTTTTCCTCTTGGAGCCTTACCTTGATTTCATCCTCTGTGACAGTGAAGACATCATCCACAAGGTCCCTTATAATAGGCCAGGTGTTTAAGCCAATGCTGGATTTGACACCATCTGCTATAGTTTCTGGAGGATAAGGATTGGGGGTCAGCTCCCCTTTCAGTTTGGACTTGTAGCAATCATCTGCATTCAAGGGTTCAGCAGCATATACCTTCACACTAGGTTTCAGAGCCTGGAAGAGGAATATTAGACATCTTACAACTAACTACAGCATTACCTACATGCTTAAATAAAGTATGCAGAATAGGGGAAAAAGGGCATTTCTGGCTATGTAAGAGTCTTCCTTTTGATGGATGTAATGAAATCATGACCTTCAAGCAGTTTATGAATAAATTGTATATCTAATACTGGGTTTTAGATGCCTGGATCACAATTGGCTTTGGTCATTTTGGGAAAGGTAGTACCTGGTGTGAATAATAATGGAGATGGATCCAGGGGAAGGACTGTAAGGTGCTTTTATGCTGTAAATTTGTCATACATGAAGAGGGTAGTAAGTCAGGGAAAGGCTTTCCATCTCAAGTAATGGCCATTTGGGGATAATGTTAAATTAGGTATCTAAAGTCCTTTTTGCCTAAGGCAGGAAGTCTTCCAGAAGGTGTCTTCTTACCTTAACAGTAATTGCTATTCCAGCAACCATTCCTCCTCCCCCTACAGGAACCACTAGTGCATCCACCAAGGGAACCTTTTGTAAAACAAAGTACAAGTAGGCCAATTAATGAGCAGTTTTGTATGTCAAAACAGTGTCACCAGTAAAATATGAAGTAACTAGGCTGTTTTACCTGACTCAGCACTTCTAAGGCAATTGTGCCTTGCCCAGCTATCACCGCAGGCTCCTGGTTGGGATGAACCATGATGCCTTCTGTTTCTTCCAAAATTCTTTTTGTAACCTTTTCTCTGGACTAAAAGAGCACATTAATTTAGCTTACTAGGGTTAGGCATTTAATAAAGTTCCCAAAAAGTTTCAGTCATTTTAATGCTATTGACTACTTACTTTTTCCCAGACTTTGTTTAGTCCCTGGGGATAAGTAAAGCGGTGAACAAAAATCCTGCCCTCAAGAAGTTATATCTTTAGGATAGGGGTGGGATATAAGTGAATATATGTATGTCTAAGTACTATGGAGAAAAAATAAATTTTATCTTACAAAGACTACTCAGGAAACATCTATGATTAAGTGACAAATTATACAAGTGCAGTAGATCTCTAGAATATAAAGAGGTGGTAATAGGGTCAGAGTCTCCAAGGTGGGTAGTGGTCTTTCTAAGGAAATGCTAAGAAGTTAGTGTGATTGGCATAAGATAAGAAAATAGCAGTGGAGTTGGGTGTGGTGGTATACACCTAATCCTAGCAACTCCTAGGCAGGAGTATCATGAGTTCAAAGGCAGCCTCAGCAACAGTGAGGCACTAAAGCAACTCAGTGAAACTCTCTCTCTAAATAAAATACAAAATAGGGTTGGGGATGTGGCTTAGGGGTGAGATCCCTGAGTTCAATCCCTAGTACCCCTCCCACTCCCTCCCCTTAACAAAATAGCAGTGGGTCAGGTGCTGTGGCATGGCCTATAATCCTAGTCACTGGAGGCTGAGGCAGGAGTTTAAAGCTAGCCTCAGGTTTTTAGTGAAGCCCTAAGCAAATTAGTGAGACCCCCATCTCAAATGGGCTGGAGTCAATCCCTGGTTATCTCCTTACCCCCTCAGAACAAAGGGCTAGTTCATCTAGGCTGAAGATGATTATAAGAACTTTGGTTGGGGGTTTGTAGCTCAGTGGTAGAGTATATGCTTAGTGCTTAGCATGGGGTCAGGACCTGGATTCAATCTCCAGCCCCCAAATAAAAGCAAAACCTGATTTCCATTGTACAAAGTGGGAAACCATGGGAAGATTTGAGTTGAGAAATTCTAAATAAATGGAAGCTCTAGTTCTTGCTACAGGAAGCAAGACTGGAAGCAGAGTCCAGTAAGGCTACTGAATGTAGGTAATGATCTGAATAAGGATGGTTAACGGAGGTTTGTTACTAGTTGGATTGTGAAAACACTTTGAAAGGACAGAATTGGATGTGGGGTGTAATAGTGTTGATTTCCTCTAGCAACTAAAAGGATAAATTGCCATTTACCAAGATGAAAGACAAAGGGGAACAATTTGGGGAGTAAGATGAGGAGTTTTGTTTTAGATACAGTTACTTTATAGATGGGCATGGTTTAATCCTAGTGATTTTGAAGCAGGAGAGGAGCAAAAGTTACAGTCTCAGCAACATGGTGAGACTCTTGTTTCAAAAATTAAGAAAGCGCTGGAAATGTGACTCAGTGGTAGAGTGCACTTGAATTCAATCCCTAGTATTGGGGGAGGTAAGGTGGAGAAACAGTAACTTCTGAGATGTTTGAGTAGCTTCAAGATATCCAAGTGAGAAAGTTGGGTATACAAGTCTGGAGGTATTGGAGTAGAGGTGAAAATTTAAAATGATACAAATGAGTATAGATAGAGAAAAGTTTGGGCATGCTAACAGAGGTGAAGAGGAAACAAGACTGAGAAGGAGCATCCAGTATAGTAGGAAGAGTGGTTGGTCAAATGAAGCTGTTTAGGTGGTGCTGAACACTGCTTTCTTTACCTCATCGCTTGGTTCACTGTAAACTATAGAGGCTCCATAGGCTTGTATTGCCAGTTTTTTACAGTTGGGAGCTGTGTGGGGTACCACAATATAAGCAGGAATCCCTGGGAGAGGAAAAACATGTTAGCAGAAGTCAGGAGAATTTTGGATAGAAACTTTTGTTCATTTTGCTTGTAATCAGAGACTCCTTTGGAAATTGACCCCATAGCTGTCACCATTCTGAATGAAAATTAAGGACACTTTTCCACTCACTCTAATGACTACCTTGAGAAGTTATCAAGTACCTTCCAGTTTAGCAGCATAAGTGAGAGCCTGGCCATGATTTCCACTGCTGTGAGTAACAACAGCTTTGGGCTTCCCTTCTAAGGTGGCAGGAATTAAGCCTCTGATGGCATTAAGCGCCCCACGAATCTGGAAAAGAGGGATGGTGAATTAATGTATGGTCATGCATCCCTTACTTGTTCCCTTGATGGGAGCAAGTTTGAGAAGTGCATTCTCAGGCAATTTCATTGTGCAAACATTATAGAGCCTACTACATAACCTAGGAAGTGTGGTATAGCCTATTGCTCCTAAGCTACAAACCTGTACAGCATATTACTGTACTAAACTGAATACTATAGGTAATTGTAACACAATGGTAAGTACTTGTGTACAGAAACAGGAAAGTACTGTAAAAATAATATAAAAGATAAAAATTGTAGCTGGGTATGGTGGTGAGAATGAGGAAAGAGGATCACAAATTTGAGGTCAATCTTAGTAATTTAGCGAGACCCTATCTCAACATATAAAAAGGACTGGGAATATAGCTCAGTGATACAGTGCACCTGGGTTCAATCCCCAGGGCCCCCCTCCAAAAAAAAAGAGATTAAAAATGATATACCTGTATAGGACAATATATAAGACCTTGTGCACTACTGAAGACCAAACATTCAAGCTACACTAAATTTATTGTTTCTTTTTTTTTTTTTAAGTACTAGGGGTAGAACTCAGCGATACCCTTGTTTTATTTTGAGAAAGGTCTTGCTAAATTGCCTAAACTGGCATTAAACTTGGATTCTTCTGCCTAAGCCTCCCCAGCAGCTATGATTACAGGCATATGCTATCATGCCTGACCTTAAAACAGTATTTTTCTAAAATAATAAACTAACCCTAACTTAGTGTAATTTTTTTTTTTTACTTAATTAGATTTGCTTAGCTTTTCAACTCTTGTAAAACCCTTAGCTTAAAACAGTGCATTTAGCTGTACAAAAATATTTTCTCTTGGGCTGGGGATGTGGCTCAAGCGGTAATGCGCTCGCCTGGCATGCGCAGGGCACTGGGTTCGATCCTCAGCACCACATAAAATAAAGGTGTCCACCGAAAACTGAAAAAAAATATTTAAAAAAATTTCTCTTTACATCCTTATTCTGTAAGCTTCCCCCCCCCCTTCGGTAGTGCTGGGACCAAACTTAGGGTCTCAAAAATAAATGCTTTATAGGGGTTGGGGTTGTGGCTTAGAGGTAGAGCGCTTGCCTACTATGCTTGAGGCAGTGGATTTAATCTTCAGCACCACATTAAAAAAAAAAGTATTGTGTGAACCCACAACTAAAAAAATAAATGTTTTTAAAAAATGCTGTATAGCTGAACTCCATCCCCCCAGCTCAACATGGTCCCCCCCCCCACCCCACTGATGATTGAACTCTCAAAGGTTCTCTGCCATTGAGGTACATCCATAACCCATCCTTTTTTTTTTTTTTAATAAAACACAAGAGGCACTCTATCTACCACTGAACCACATCACTAACACTTTATTTTGAGACAGGGTCTCACTAAGTTGCTTAGAACCTTAAATTGTAGAGATTGCCCTTGAATTTACAATCCTCCCAAATTTCTGGGATTACAAGCATGCACCATTCTGCAGGTCTCCCCCCAACTTTTTTTTTTTTTTTTTTAAGTGGAAACAGTAGGACTGGAGACATAGTTTACTGGTAGACCATGTCCTGAGCATGCAGGAGGACCCAACACCACCAAAAACATAAGTAAAATAAAAGAGGCGTATACTCTAATACAATAATAAGTATAGTATAGGGAGCTGGGGTTGTGGCCCAGTAGTAGAAATGCTTGCCTAGCATATGTGAGGTACTGGGTTCGATCCTAGGCACCATATAAAAATAAAGGTTATTGTGTCCACCTACAACTAAAAAACAAATATTAAAAAAAGTATAGTAAATACATCAGTAAGTTGTTTCTTTTTAAGTATTACACACTGTATATAATTATATGTGCTAAGTCAGGTGTAGTGATACACACTTGTAATTCCAGCTATTTCAGAGGCTGAAGCAGGAAGATGCCAAGTTTAAATCCAGCCTGAGCAAATTAGTGAGACCCTATCTCAATATTTTTGATAACTGTCTCAGTATTTAAAAATAATAATAATAAAAAGGACTGAGGATGCCATGCTGCTCAGTGGTAAAGCACCCATGGTGCTCAATCCCCAGTACAAAAACCAAAACCACCTCTCAGTTAATAGGTACTATATTGCTAAATGCACCTTGCACACTTTCCCCCTGAAAGGATCTTAAAGCTCACCTAATGATCAGAAGATTTTGGTTGTAAGTTAACACATAGAAGCATATCTATGCATAGGGAAGGCATTGACATTTTGTAGAAAAAGATTTTATTATGGAGTGTTTGGCTAGATTTAGATCTTTTATACTCAAAAGGTATCAATCAGTGTGTATATGTAGCAAGTTGACACAAAATGGATGCTTAAACCTGGGTTACATACACTACATTTTTCCTGAAATAGTCCAGGTTGATCTCTATTTTTGTCGTTTTTGTTTTGTTGGTACTGGAGATTAAACCACAGAGCCACATCCTCAGCCCCTTTTGTATTTTATTAAGAGACAAGGCCTCTCTGAGTTTCTGAGGCTGGCTTTGATCTTGTGATTTTCCTGTCTCAGCCTCCTGAGCCACTGGGATTACAGGTGTGCACCACCATGTCTGGCTGTTGTTTTTTTTTTAAATTTTTTAGTTGTAGTTGCACACAATATCTTTATTTTGTTTGTTTATTTTTATGTGGTGCTGAGGATGGAACTCAGGACCTCGCATATATTAGGGAAGCGCTCTGCTGAGCCACAACCCCAGCCCTGGCTGTTTTTTTTTTTTTTTTTTTTTTGTACTGGGTATTGAACTCAGGGGCACTTAACCACTGAGCTACATCCCAGACCTTTTTTGTATTTTTTATTTAAAGATAGGGTCTCACTGAATTGCTTAGGGCCTTGCTAAATTGCTGAGGCTGGCTTTGAACTCACGATCCTCCTCCCTGAGCCTCCAGAGCCACCACACCTGGCTGTCTTATTCTTAAAAAAAAAAAGAAAAAAAAGGGATCTCATTGGGCATGGTGGCAAATACCTGTAATCCCAGCTACTGGGGTAAGGGAGGGAGGCTGATGCAAAAGGATTTTAAGTTCCAGGCCATCCTATGCAGACCTCAAAGAAAAAGGAAAAAAAAATATTTGGACAAAGCTAAGAGGAGAGTACTTGTCTATTAAATACAAGGCGCTCTGCATTCAATACCTAGTATAGGGGGGAAAAAAAGTTAGAGGAAAATGGGATCTCACTGTGTTGCCCAGGCTGGCATTGAATTCCTGGGCTCAAATGATCTTCATGTTGAGATCCCAGTGTACCTGAGACTACAGGTACATGTCACTGCATTGTCCTGATTTTTTCATTAGAAATTCCCCCTTTGTCCTACTTTAGACAATAAATAAATGATTATGTATAGTATAATTATCCAAATATCCCCCCATAAGTGTATATAATTCTTTTATAAGGGATTTTTAGATTAAGTGGCTTATCAGCACTATGATGCTAGGTAATCAGAACTTAAAATTTTTGCACCGGGGGCTGGGGATGTGGCTCAAGGGGTAGCGCGCCCGTCTAGCATGCGTGCAGCCCGGGTTCGATCCTCAGCACCACATATAAACAAAGATGTTGTGTCTGCCGAAAACTAAGAAATAAAATGTTAAAATTCTCTCTCTTTCTCCTCACTCTCTCTCTCCTCTCAAAAAAATAAATAAAAAATAAAATTTTTGCACCCTATTATTTCAAATGTTATAAATTCCTTTTTTTGGTATTGAACCCAGGGGTACTTCACCACTGAGTGACATCCCCAGCCCCTTTTATTTTATATTTTGGATAGGGTCTCACTAAATCGTTGAGGCCAACCACAAACTTGTGATCCTCCCAAATCCCTGGATGGTCTGGAGAATCAAATAAATTTATACGTTAAGAGGGCTTGAAAACATTCACAATACACTAACAAAAGAAACTTTTACCTTAAAAGATCCAGTTTTCTGGAAGACTTCACATTTGAAGAAAAGATTGCGTCCTGCTACTTGATTCAAAATAGAGCTTGTTAGCACTGGTGTGAGATGGATGTAATCTCGAATGTTGATGTGAGCTTTTTCAACATCAGCAAAGGAGATGCAGTACTGAGCACACATGGTTCTGAAACCCAAGAATAAGCAAGAAGTCAAAACAAAGTCTGATAAAAATGAATTTGTTGAAAGCTTTGAAAATGCGTAATACAGAAGAGAAATGGGGATTGTGGTTCTATGTGGAACTGTCTCCATTCCTGGAATGCCAGAATTTCTGTGACTTGTAACGGAAATTAAGTTTTTTGGTGAAGCTTTATAGGAAATAAACTGATGTTACTTATGGAAGCTAAAGTCATTCCCTCACTCATACTATATATCTTGACAGTGCCACTGGTCTGTATCTGATGAAAAGCATTTTGTGAAGCTGCTTGAATGAACTGGGTTCAAAATAAATATATAATTTTTGCCTTAATTTTGAAACAGGGTCTTGCTATGTTGCCCAGGCTAGTCTCTAACTCCTGGGCTCAAGGGATTCTCCTACTTCAGCTTACTGAGTACTAGGACTACTAGTGCATGCCACCATGCCTGACTTAAAATTTTATTTTTAAAAATCATTCTTTTTTTGCTGGGCGTGTTGCATATCTGTAATCCCAGTAATTTGGGAGGCTGAGGCAGGAGGAGCGAAAGTTCAAAGCCAGCCTCAGCAACTTAGTGAGATCCTAAGCAATTTAGCAAGATCCTGACTCAAAAAATAAAAAGGGCTGGGGATATGGCTGGGATAAGTGTCCCTCAGTTCAATCCCCACATCCCCAGCCCTTTTTATATTTTATTTAGAGACAGAGTCTCACTGTCTCTAAGCAACTCACTAAATTGCTTAGAGCCTAAGTTGCTTAGGCTGGCTTTGAACTTAGGATCCTCCTATCTCAGCCTCCTGAGCCTACAGGCATGCACCATAGTGTCTAGTGGAGCTGCAGAATTTCTCACCAGTTTTCCCTGTGCTTGACCTTATGTTACAAGGGCAGGGTTCAAGGATGCTAAAGGGTGTGTCATTAAGGAATTGTAATTGTTCTGGGTGCTTCCTGCATTTCTACAGTTTATGGGCACTTCCTTTAAGACTTAGTATCTCTCCCTTCACCCCCAGATTTCTCTCATTTTTCCCTGGAGACTTTGATTGCTTATTATTATTATTATTATTTTTAGAACCCAGGGGTGCTTTACCACTGAGCAATATCTCCAGCTCTTTATTTTAGGGACAGGGTTTTGCTACATTGCTTAGGGTCTTGCTAAACTGCTGAGGCTGGCTTCAAACTTGAGATCCTCTTGCTTCAGCCTTCTGAGTCACTGGGATTACAGACATGTGCCACTGCTCCTGACTGATCCCTTAATCTAGTCTTATATGACTGCTTCAGGCTGGCAGATCAAAAGTCTCCTCCTAATGAGGATAGCATTTATATATTCTTTTTTTTTTTTTTTAAAAAGGGGGACAGAGAGAGAGAATTTTAACATTTATTTATTTTTTCTTAGTTCTCGGCGGACACAACATCTTCGTTTGTATGTGGTGCTGAGGATCGAACCCGGGCCGCACGCAAGCTAGGCGAGCGCGCTACCGCTTGAGCCACATCCCTAGCCCCACATTTATATATTCTTATTGGTCATTAGCATTTTTAACTGAGAAATCCTGTTTATGTACTCCCTAAATTTTTCTACTGTTATTTTTCTTTCCTATGAGTTATAGGGACACTTTCAAAAAATTAAGTATTTTACTGATACAGATGTACTTTTAATTTATTCTTATCTTTTAACTGTTCCTATATGTAGCATTATATAGACAAACTTAGGTGTTCCAATCTTTTTCTCTGAAGCTTTTTAATTTTCTTTCCCATTTAAGAAAAAAAATATGCTATCCTCATTAGTACTCAGTAGTGCAAATAAATGTGATCATAAGATTCAATTTTCATTAATTAGATTATGGAACTGGAAAGAAAATGTGATAAATTTCAATAGCAAAGATAGTTTAGCAAAATTGGTGCTTTCACATGTACTTGATGGAAGTATAAATTGGTACAGCTTTTTGAGGCTGACAAGTTGACAATGATCTGTCAAAATTGAAAATGTGTATACTTTGGTCTATCTACAAAAATACTCATACATAAATGCAAAATTATAAGAATATTATTGCACTATTATTTATAATAGCAGAAAGCAGAAAAAGTACAAAGTGTCTGTCAATAAGAAAATGAATAACAAATAATGGGATATACATATTTTGAGTAGTGTGAAAATCCTTAAAAACATGTAATAGTCTTGCACAAACAGAAATGTATATCTTATATGGTGTATCTCCAATTCTACAGAAAGTAATTATATGTAGATGTGCTAATATACATTATTTCTGTTAAAATAAAAAAAAACTCTCCTCCTGGCTGATTCACTGAGACTGAGAGATTGGTGTCAGTTGAATACTTGCAAACAATATTATGAATATCTGTATCTTATCAAGATACATATTTGTGGCCAGCCCCAGTTTTTTTTTTTTTTCCCCTCTCTCTGAGATGGTGCCTTACTATGTTGACGAGGCTGGTCCAAACTCCTAGACTCAAGTGAGTCTTCCACCTCAACCTCCTGAATGCTGGGACAACAGGTGCATGCCACCACACCCAGCTACATTAAAATGACTTCATTATATTCCTTTCACAAAAATACCATAATTTAGCTAGGTGAGGCAGCTTATGCCTGTAATCCCAGTAGTTTGGATGGCTGAGGCAGGACTGCAAATTCAAGGGTAGCTTGGGCAACTTAGTGAGATTCTGTCTCAAAAAAATTTAAAAAAGGCTGGGATGTAGCTCAGTGGTAAAGCATCCCTGGGTTCAATCCCCAGTGCTGGAAAACAAAAAACACCATAATTTAACTTTTACATAACTCTTATTTGAATGTTTAGAGATGTTTCTGTACTTCAGTACATCCTTAGAGTAGATTTCATTAAATAGCTTTCTGCATCAAAAGGCCTGCACAAATTTAATTCACTTGAAGTGCAGCAGGTAGAGAGAGAGAGAGAGAGAGAGAGAGAGAGAGAGAGAGAGAGAGAATATTTTTAATATTTATTTTTTAGTTCTCGGCGGACACAACATCTTTGTTGGTACGTGGTGCTGAGGATCGAACCTGGGCTGCACGCATGCCAGGCGAGTGTGCTACTGCTTGAGCCACATCCCCAGCCTGTGTGTCAGACACTTGATACTTACTGCCAAACTGATATCCAGAAGGGCTGTACAGCACATTAATTTATACTTCCGACAGCATTTAAGAATGTCCGTGTTCCTTCATCCTAGCTATATCATTTTATCTGCCAATTTAAATGTCTACTAGTTTTAATTTACATTAATTTCTGTGAATGAACATTTTTCTGTATGTTTACTGGCCAGTTGTTCTTTAGTAAATCCTTAAAAAAATTTTTTTTGGTAGGTGTAGAACTCCTTTATTTTTTAAAAAGTAATTTTTGTTGTAGATGGATACAATGCCTTTATTTATGTGTAGTGTTGAGGATCAAACCCAGTGCCTCACACGTGCTAGGCAATCACTCTACCACTAAGCTGTAACCCTAGCCCCCTTTATTTTTTTATATGTGGTGCTAAGGATTGAACCCAGTGCCTCACACATGCTAGGCAAGTGCTCTGCCACTAATCTACAGTCCCAGCCTAGTCAGATCTTTTTATTTTTTGTGATAGTGGAGATTGAACCTGCAGGTACTCTACCATTTTAGCTACATCCCTAGCCCTTTTTTGGCGGGGGAAGGAGCGGGTACCAGGGGTTGAACTAAGGGCATTCAACCACTGAGCCACATCCCTAGCCATATTTTGTATTTTATTAGAGACAGGGTCTCACTGAGTTGTTTAGGGCTTCTCTAAATTGCTTGAGGCTGGCTTTGAACTCAAGAGCTGCTAGGATTACAGGTGTGCGCAAATGCCCAGGGACTCCTAACCCCCCCCCCTTTTTTTAAAGTATTCTTTTTTAGTTGTAGATGGACACAATATTTATTTTTATGTGGTGCTGAGAATTGAACTCAGTGCCTCACATGTGCTAGGCAAGCACTCTACCACTGAGCTATAACCCTATCCCTTTGCCCTTTTTATTTTGAGAAAGAATCTTCTTAAATTGCCCAGGTTGGCTTCAAATTTACAACTCTCTTATCTCAGCCTCCTGATTTAACTGAGATTACAAGTGTACCTGGCTCTCTTCTGTTAACTTTAACATACTACTTACAGATGATTTCAGAGGACTCATTTGTTTTTTGTTATGTTACTAGGGATTGAACCACTACATCACCTACCCCGTTTTTATTTTTTGTTCTGAGACAAGGTCTTGCTAAATTGCTGAGGCTGACTTGAACATGTGATCCTTCTGTATCAGACACTCAACTCACCAGAATTACAAGCCTGTGCCACCATGGCCTGGCATCAGAGGAATCACTCCCCCCCCCCCGAAATGCCACACTTATTAGGAAATAAATTTGTTTTAGGGCTTTTGTATTTTATTCCATTTATCAGACTGCCAATTCCTTTTCCAGGGATGCACTGAATTAATAAGTTCTTCCTAAAGAAGAACTCACTCTAAAACTTGCTGGCTTTTCTCACAAATCAATTCTTTCAAGTGAATTTCAGAATTCCTTTAGCAAGGCTACCAGAAATTCCACTATTATTAAAACAAATGAAGTGGGACATCATTGACATCTTATTATTATTTTTTGGTACCAGTGATGGTACCCAGGGACACTTAACCACTAAGCCACATCCCCAGCTCTTTTTGTTTGAGACGGGTTCTCACTAAATTTGCTTAGGATCTTGCCAAGTGGCTAAGGCTGCCTTTGAATTTACGTTCCTCCTGCCTCAGGCTCCTGAATCACTGGGATTAAAGGTGTGTGCCATTGTGCCCAGTGATCATTGATGTTTTAAAATACTTAGTCTTCCTGTGAATATAGGTGACTTTTAATTTAGTAGACTTTTTGCTTTAGATTTCTCAAGAGTTTTCATAGTTATGTGTCTTGTATGTATCTGATTAAATTTATTCCTAAGTACAATGTAATTTTGTTGCTTTTGAGGTATTTTTCCCATTATATTTCAAAATTACGTGCTGATGATTACATACTAATAACTTTTGAACATTTATTACATAATAGGCTACTTGACTAGATTACCTTGTTAGACTGAGTTTTGTAGTTGATACTCCTCATCCTTATATATATTTTTTCTTCTTCCTAGCTTCAGATGTGGTTTAACATAGTTGGTCATACAATACTTTTAAGACATGGTTATAGCTGAGCACAGTGGACCAAACCTGTAATCCCAGTGACTTGAGAGGCTTGAGGATTACAGGTTCCAGGCCAGCCTCAACAAATAGTAAAGCCCTTTGCAACTTTGTTACACCCTTTTTCAAAGTAAAAAATAAACAAGACTGGGGATGAGGGTTGGTGGTGGCACATACCTGTAATCTTAGCTACTAATGAGGATGAGACAGGAGGATGGATAAGTTTGAGGTTAGCCTTGGCAACTTAGTGAGACCCTGACTCAAAAAAAAAAAAAAAATTGCACTTTAGCTTTCAGATCTCACTTTTCTATGCTGATTTCATTCTTAGCTTTCACAAGGATCCAGGAGCTCTTAGCTGCTGAAGGGCTGGGGATGCAGCTTAGTGGTAGAGTGCTTGCCCAGCATGTGAGATCCCTGGGTTCAATCCCCAGTACCACAAAACAAAAAACATACAATTCTCCCCAAACCCTAAAAACAAACAATTAAAAAAGAAGAGTATCTCTTCCTATTGAGTCTTGGGATTCAAAGTGGACCATCTTGGGTCACCAACTGACAGGCCAATAACGATGGCTTTAGGGAAATAATGTGCAGCTGTTTCCTTCCCCATTGTTTGGTGGTTGTTTCTGGGTACCAGGGATTGGACCCAGGGGAGATTTATCACTAAGCCACATACCTAGCCTCTCCCCGCTTTTTAAATGTATTTTTAGTTATACACGGGCACAATATCTTTATTATTTTTACATGGTGCTGAGGATGGAACCCAGTGCCTCACATATTCGAGGCAAGCACTCTGTCACTGAGCCACAACCCCAGTCCACCTCCACCCCAGCCCTTTTAATTTATTTATTTTGAGGCAGGGTCTGGGCAAATTGCTAAACTGCTGAGGCTGGCGTTGAACTTGGAATCCTCCTGTCTTGGCCTTTGGAGCTGTTGGGATTATAGGTGTAAGCCACTGTGCCCAGCCCCAACCCTTTAAAAAATATTGTTTGTTTTATTTTAGCCAGGGTCTTGTTAAGTTGTCCAGATGGCCTTGAACTTATGATCCTCTTGCCTGCACCTCCCACATAGCTGGGATTACATGTATAGTTTAACCAAACCCAGAAATAATAACATTTTGTGACAATTGACCTTAAATTTTCAAATTTATTAGTATAAAGTTATACATATTAATATTTCAAAACAGCCTCTCTGAGTTTTTTAATATTTTATTTTTTAGTTGTAGATGGGCACAATATCTTTATTTTTATGTGGTGCTGAGGATCGAACCTAGGGCCTTGCACGTGCTAGGTGAGTGCTCTACCGCTGAGCCATAACCCCAGCCCTCTGAGGTTTGTTTATTCATTCATTCTGTTTATCACTGAGCCACAAACCCAGCTCATTCATTCTTTTTATCAATAAATATTTAGTACCCTCTATATATTAGCTATTATTTGGTCTGGAGATAGTGTTAGAAAAATATGCTTGTTCCTGCCCTCATGAAGCTTACTATCCTAGTGGCAGATGTATAATAAATAATGTAAAAAAATAAATATGATTGGTGTGCACTACCAAGCCCAGTCAGTTTTAGAAAACTAACTGGTTATGTTATGGTGAATAAAAAGGAAGGGTACAAGAGTTGAATCAGAGAGTCCAATGAAGGGGTATTTGGTTCTCTATATGAAAGATAAAGGGGGCCTAGATGGCTAAAGTGGAAAAACAAAAAAACCCCAAGATACTGGAAACAAACCCAATTAAAATGGCTAAAGAACTTCAATAAAATTTTTTCCAGGAGAATGTACAAATGGCCAATAAGCAAATGAAAAAGTGCTCCTGTAAAAAAGTAAACAGCCTGGCACACAGTGGTACAATTCTGTGATTAAGAGTTTAAGGTCATCCTCAGTAACTTACAAATAACTCAAAGTAAAAAAAGCTGGGGTTTTGGCTCATTGGTAAATGGCTTCAAAGTTCAACCCCCCAATACTACAAAAAATAAAATAAAAATAAAAAGACAAACCCAGAACCCAATCCTAGATGTAGACCCAAAAGAATCAAAAGCAGGGTCTCAGATATTTATACACCCATGTTTGTAACCAAAAGGTGGAAGCAACACTTGCTAAACGCTGACAAAAGACTACACATAATGTGGTATATATACACAATGGAATATTATTATTTTTAAAATATTTTTTTTTAGTTGTTGATGGACCTTTATTTGCTGAGAATCAAACCCAGAGCCTCATACATGCTAGGCAAGCACTCCACCACTGAGCTACAATCCTAGCCCACAATGGAATATTATTTGGCCTTAAAAAGGACGAAATTTTGATATCTGCTATTAACATGGATGAATGTTGAGGACATTAGGCTAAGTGAAATGAGCCAATCACAAAAAGACAACTGCTACATGATTCCACTTATATGAGGTACCAAAAGAAGTCAAATTTGTAGACGGAAGGAAGGGTGGTTGCCAGGGGTTGGGATTGGGAAAATGAGGAGAGGTTTAATGGGTACAGTATTTTGGAGACTGGTTGCACAATAATGGGAATGTATTTAAGTAAAGAACTATATACTTAAAAGTGGTCAAAATTATAAATTTTGTGTTTTTTCACTACTTTTAATTAAACGGTACTGTGGAAAAATAAAAAGACTTTTTGGAGTTTGAATTAGTTGGGTCTCTTAGTTGCAAATGATAGAACCCCAATTTGACCTAGTTTAGACTAAAGATGAGGTTGTCAAGATTTACTGGCTCACAGAATCCAAGAAAAGTTGAGCAAATCATGGAGGCAGACAGGCATATATAAAGCTTCAGGAGTAACTGGAACCAGGGACTTGATGGCTTCTAGGACTCTTGTTTCTCACCTCTGCTGCTTTTTGCATGTTGGCTTCTTTTTCACTGCAGACCAGCTGTTTCCATATGGTAGGACACGTGGCTGCTGACAGCTCCTGTGTTTTACATTTTATAGCTTCCACACTGGAGAGGGATTTTCTTTCTCAGTTTCAGTTCAAAAAATTCTGGGTAAGGACTTTGACTGGTCCATCTTGGTCCACAATCAGTGGCCAAGGGTGTGAGGTCGTTTAAGACAATACTATGCAATAGTCAGAAATATTTATAGAAGCATGAAAAAGAAACATAATGAAATCCATAACACAATATCAATTATGTACATTTAAAACACTTACATACATACAACATTTTATATTATTCAAAGATACATGTATATTCAAAGACACATATTAAAACACATTAAAGTTACTACCTAAGAGAGAAGGGATGGAACATTTGTGGGAATTGGAATGAAGAGTAAAAGATGAAATGAGAAAGGCCTTGTTGATGATAGTGAGGTTGTGGCTCAGTGGTAGAGCACTCGCCTCATCCGTGCGAGACCCTGGGTTCGATCCTCAGTACCACATTAAAAAAAAAAAATAAACAAGTGAAATAAACGTTCAACTACAACTAAAAAAATAAATATTTTTTTAAAAAAAGAGTATGACTGTCTCAAATCTATGCACCCCTGGGAAAAGATCAGTAAAAGAAGAAGTGATGGGAGAAAGAAAGAAGAACAATGAGAAAGACAAAAAAGAAAAAAAAAAGTTTGAGTGGAAGTAAAGGGGAGTTTTCAAGAGAAAGGGGGAGAAGCTGGGGAGATGATTCCATATATGATCATTATAGACATAGAAGAGACCTATACTGCTTGTGGACCAAATGAGGGAGATAGAGGTGTCAAGAATAACTCTAGGATTTTGACTTTGATGGTAATATATTAATGAGATTTAATATTGGTGAAGAAACAAGTATTTGAAAGGAAAACCAGAGATTCAATGAGCTAAATTTCAGTTCCTCATAAGCCATTTAAGATGTCCTTTCTTTCTTTTTTGTCAAAAATGTGTCCACTTTAGTGTCTATTTCTGAAGAATGAGTTCTTTAATTAATTAATTTATTTTTTCAAAAATTTTTTTTTGGTAGTAGATGGACAGCATGCCTTTATTTTATTTTTATGCGGTGCTGAGGATTGAACCCAGTGCCTCACGCATGCTTGGCAAGCGCTCTGCCCCTGACCTACAGCCCCAGCCCCAGTTCTTCATTTATTATCAAGAACTGTTTTTTTGTTATGGTTACCAGCCTGAGGACAATGAATCCCCTCAGAATGTATAGGTTCAACAAAGTCTTTTTGTTGTTGTTGTTGTTTTTTGGAATCAGGGATTGAACTCCGGGTTGCTTAACAACTGAGCCACATCCCCAACCCTTTTTTTATTTTGAGACAGGTTTCTCTAAGTGGCTTAGGACCTCACTAAATTCCTGAGGCTGGCTTTGAACTAGTAATCCTCCTGGGCTGCTGGGATTACAGGTATGTGTCACAAAGCCCAGCTATTGTCATTTCTTTATATTAATTCAGAAGTGCTATCAGTCAAGTAACATTTTTTTTCAATATAAAAATACTGTTTTTTTCTTATCAATTTCTAATTTTATCTTTATGCTTTTTCTCATATTTTCCTTTATTATCTTTTTCTACATTTGTTGAAGCTTACCTATTTTCTTTTTTTTTTTGAGATTTTTTTAATATTTATTTTTTTAGCTTTTGGCGTACACAGCATCTTTGTTTTGTATGTGGTGCTGAGGATCGAACCTGGGCCGCATGCATGACAGGCTGACAGGCGAGCGCGCTACCGCTTGAGCCACATCCCCAGCCCTTAATTTTCATTTTTTAAATACTAAAAGGATTTAAGGATACATATTTTCCTGAGAACTGCTTTAATGATATATCATGGATTCTGTCTGGCAATATATATTTTTTATCTTAATTTCTAAAGAATCCATTATCTTTTTTTTCCCAGTGCTGGGGATCGAACCCAGGGCAACATGTTAGGCAAGTGCTGTATCATTGGGTAATATCCCCAACTCTTTGTTTTGTTTTCTTTTATTTATTTTATTTTTATGTGGTGCTGAGGTTCAAAACCAGGGCCTCGAGCATGCTGTTCTACTGCTGAGCCACAACCCTAGACCTCTTTGTTTTCTTTTTTGACCCATGACTTATGAAATTATAAGTAGCTACTGGTGGTACTGGCCTGTAATCACAGCAACTCAAGAGGATGAGGCATGAGGATTGCAAGTTTGAGGTCAGTCTCAGCAACTCTCCAAGACCCTGTCTCAAAAATAAAAAACAGCTGGGTGTGGTGGTACATGTCTAAGCCCAGTGGCTCGGGAGCTGAGGCAGGAGGATCTTGGGTTCTTCAAAGCCAGCTCAGCAAC